AGTAGCGTCCTTGCTCCTAGTAGTAAGGCCAGGAGTCCCTAGTAGCGCCTTGCTCCTAGTAGTAAGGCCAGGAGTCCCAAGTGGCGTCCTTGCTCCTAGTAGTGAGGCCAGGAGCCCCTAGTAGCGTCCTTGCACCTAGTAGTAAGGCCAGGAGCCCCTAGTAGCGTTCTTGCTCCTAGTAGTAAGGCCAGGAGTCCCTAGTGGCGTCCTTGCTCCTAGTAGTAAGGCCAGGAGTCCCTAGTAGCTTCTTGTTGTCTAGCTGCAGTCTCTCACACAAGCTGTTGCGGAACTGTTGGATGTGATTGCAATGAGATGCATGGAGTGCTTGGATCTACGAGTGGATCATAGTGGATCCAGTGACTTGGATCTTCTGGTTTGCTCTTCCAGCACCGTTGCCTCGTAAGGCACCACTTGACCCTGCCCTTGTCCATCATCGAGCAGCAGCCTTCACAGCATGGTTTGCCGGGAGTCCAATCTATCTGTAGGATGGAACCCAATCACTGTCAAACTTTTGGTGCAAATTGAAACGTACAAATGGTTCGCCACTTATTCTTTCAAGTTCTACAATGTGTCTGAGCAGTGTTGCTAAATGAAAGCAAAGAGAAGTAAACAGCTTCACTGCTCGACATTCACCGGCTTGGTGTACCTACACCAAAGCCTGCTTGCCTATGGCTTGGCTCAGGCAGTGCAAGATGCTCAGAAGCACGCGTGCGCGGTGGGAGGCGGCAAACTTCGCAAAGCTTCTCTGCCAGGACGTAGCGCCCCTGACCCACCACAGTGCCTGCAACTGACCACGACATAAAAGACTTCCTAAACTTGTGCACTGTACCAAAAGGCTGGTAGTCTTTGCTTCAAAGAACCTACACCAAATTCCAGGCTGCAAGTACGAACGGCTGCAGTAAATTAAACGACCAGAACCAAGCAAAAGAACCCTGATCCCGATGTAATTAGTAGCGTCCTGTACCTAGAAGCTTACTTAAGCTACCAGCTACCTACTACCTCCTACCTCTTCCTCTTAGCGGCGCTACCCCCCTTTGAAAAAAAACATAGTAAAAACGTAATAAATAATTGTTTAAGATTTTTAAAACAAGTGGCCTGGAAGAAGCTCCGAGCTCATAGCCCAGCCCAAGGGATGACTCTCGACGTTCATGGGCATATCGCCTGTGCCGCTGAGGCCCAGTCGTGCTCAGTGTTTCGATCGTTTCGATGGATGATCCAACAAACGCGTGTGACCAGCCACAGTTCAAATCACTTGGGGGCGGGGTCAAGACTAGACCACCTCGTGGCATCTTGATGAACATCCGTGTGGAAGATTATTTGATATTTTCAGCCTCGGCAGGGTATTCAAGGGCGTGCCCCACAATATTTCATGCCAGCCTTGGGCGAGGACTTCAAGGCAAAGGACGTTCCAAAGAAACGCCAAGGCCGCCTAGGATTTTTGAGGAGACTCATGCACTGCATGCATGGGTGGAACAAGAACACTTCACACTGCCCGTGGCTCTCACAGGCTTCTCAAAGCTAAGGCGTTGGCCATCGATATGGATAAGGCATCCGACCGGCGGCTCGAGGGCCTCACGGGTGCCGCCTGTGCCTCATCTGGGAATCATGGCTTCGTGGCCTGCTTTGGTCCTACGTAGAAAAAACATGAATGAGGTCAGTGTGATTTTTTCCATACAGGGTCTATGCTTCATGAAACGTCTTTTGTTTTTGCATGCATGCTTGCTTGATGTCCATGGTATCTGCAAGATTGCAATGCAGGTCGCTTGCTTCATCTAAACAAACTGCCTCTCAATTGGCATCGAAGACCTTTTTGATGTGTTTTCTCGTGATTTCTCTGTTCTTGTGACAAAGCGGATACAATTCTGCGCCCTCCTCAACATGTTTTCTCATGGATCAGTGGACATGACTGGACTTGATAACTCCAGCGATGGCAAATTCTAGGCTGCAGCAGTATTCAGGACCGGAGCTGCAACTTGCCATTCTGCTTGACACTAGGCTCACTAGGCATCTTGAGCCAGAAAACCTCACATCAAAATACATCTCTCAAGTCTGAAAGGTTTGTTCGATGGCTGATCAGACTTGGGAAAGCAGCTTGGACTCCTTAAAGACTTCCAACTGGTACCCAGGCGTACCTGGTAGCCATGGCAGTTCTGCATTGACCTTGATCTGTGCCTTTCAACCCAGGGAAATCCACAACGGTTTCAGGAGGCAAGAGCCAAAGGAAATTCACCGTCCGAGCCTGAATGTGAAGCCACAAATTTTATTGTCGCTCTAAAGCCTGGGTGACTGGGTGAACTCTAGAATTGACTTATACATTTGATTTTCTGGCACAATGGTCGAGGAGGATCTTGACATCCTCCGTCATCACGGCAATGCTTCATCCGCCAGCGCGAGCACATAAATGAAATCTGAAGTCTTCAGCCAATCCGCGCGAGCACCTTCTCACAGCCAACATGTCCACTCTGCACTATCCTATGGCCGCAGTGGACAGCACGGCGGTTCTGCGGTGCAAGGGTCTTTGCCTCGCTCATGAGACCGCTCTGCTCTCATGAATCCTGGCCGATCAAAGCGGATTGATATGGATTGATGCTGGGGAATCCCAGTTAGACTGGAGCCCAAAAAATGATGAATAAGATAACATTAGACAACAACCAGTTTAATCTAATCCATGTCGCCTGGGCACACCAAAGTGGAGGTACAGGCTGCAACGTCAGAGGCCTGCTTGGATCTTATCCTGCTCTTTGCTGAGGGACCCTTCTCTTCACTTCAGTCTTAGCGGCCTAGCGACCCAAAAAAGTTATAAACAATTACAAGGGCCGAGCTGAAGCAAACAGGTCGAAAAGGCTTGAAGGAGAGGTCATTAATGACCTCAGCCATGTGCAGAAGCAGTGCATTGTCTCAAAAATTAAACAAGCCGGACAAGGATCCTAAGGGAGCAAAGTGAGACATGTTGCTTGGAACATTTTTTGAACAAATCTTTGGATCTAATGTGCCTGAGCCTTGCTGGCAGGACATTTCAGCAGATGGAGAATCTTCACACTCCAAGTTCCTGGGTTGCAAACCTTCATCTTTTCCACGTTCCTTCGGAGGATTTGCACCACCATTGAGGCGGCAGTCCTCAAGGAAAAAGGAGGGATCTTTGTTTTCAGCCTCCTTGATTGCCTCTCATTGGGCGCTGATCGATTCATGACGCAATGATTGGAATGCGATTGGATGATGCAAACTTGAAGCACAGATCAAAGACATCACATCTCATACTGGTGGCTCTGACCCCTGATGGCCAATCAGCTTTGGGATGTCGTGCTCAATCTCCCGCAGATGCGCCTGACAAAAGCGCTGGAGGAAAGGGAAGGTTCACATTCGATCCCGCCCGTTCTCATCCAAGCTGACCCTTTTGATTCCTTTTGATATCTAAGTGACAATGCTAAAATATTTGAAGTGATGCATCTGATTAGTCTAGTCTAGCTTCTGGACAACGACAAATGGGCGGGCAGTTCAACAACTTTGTAGACTTGGCGATTAAAGTACAACAAGCACATTTACCCGCATTCACTCAGAGGTTGCGCTTCAGCTGAGGTGCCGCTTCACTCACCCATACCATTCAGCCGATACCAAAAAGCTTGACAATGCACAGCTAAGCTAAGCAACTACAGTAAGTCTACGAGTACAAAGTGTTGGGCCTGTGACAGTACTGTTTCCAAGCCAAATAGCCTGTATACTGCTGTATACAGAGAGAGAGAGAGAGCCTTGAACAATAAACCCTCCACAACCAGTCTCTCAACCCTCCAAAATCTACCTTGGTGAGCTCGAACAAAGTCAAGTGATCCTCACTGTCGTGAGCCTGGTCGCTTTGTCCAGGGTATTATCTCCAGCACATAGACATGGAATGACATTGATATTTACATCACTCTTCAGCATACGTAGCTCCTTTTTGAGGGTGAGCAAACTGTACAAACTGGTTTGCCTCCCTCCCCTAAAGTATTGCAGGGTGCAGGCTCCTGCAAAGCAAGTGGATTGGGGGTCTTACTTTGCAGTCAATACACCAGAGCTTCTCGGAAAATAAAAGCAAGGCGGGTTCTTTGGATTAGAGTGATCAAGGCACAATTTCTTGGAGACAAGCAAGGCTCTACCAAGGGGGCATCAAAAGTAGGAACAGTCAATAACTGTTCGCAAACTGTTCATAATCAAAGGAGTCATGACAGTTCTACCTTTAACATGACAGTTCTACCTTTAACTTTAACATGCCACAGTGCAGAAATCCGCAAAGACCCTGAAACTCCAGCGAACCAAACTGCTGGTGACCCACCTGCAGCACCTTGTCAAAGCTGCAGTCGTTGATGCGCTGAATAATGTGAGCCGTCTGGCAAACAAACATATGTTTGATGGCTTGTTCACTCATTCTTCTTGGACCATGATATCTCCGTAAGTTGATTCAATCATTTCCACCTATCATCACCTGCCCCCACTCACTTCCACTCAGCCCGTCCTTGAAGCAATATATCGATACAATACATCCGAAAACACACACAGCGATTCAGTTCTTCTACGCCTATGCATGCTCTTGATATCTCGTTCGTTGATTGGCCACGGTGCCTTGGATTCCAAAGTACTTCGATACATCAGCGACTTGACTAAGCGGTACAAGGAAGTGGTCTCGCTGGGTTGTACCTGGCGTCCAAGATCCAACTCAGCTCGACATGCGTGGCGACATGGAACCGCTGCGAACCTTGGCCTTCAACTTTCCAAGATTCTGGCAATCTCTCCTAATCTAGACCAGAAGATTTAGGGAGATGAGAGAAGTAGATGAACCCCTTTTGTTTGAGTTCTTGGGCTTGGGGTATTGCCAATTGACCTCCTTCATCATTTAGAATTTGCCAACGGATACCGACAGCACTGTCTGGCTCGTGTGAAACACTGGGATGTCACATTTCCATCTGAGGCGCCGGGCACAATTCTCTTTGACCCACTTGACGATTTCGGTCTTGATGTTCTGAAAGAGAGACATTTCAAATGGTCAACATCATCCAACATCCCACATTTCAAGGACTGGGATGGCCCAACAAGGGTTGTTGGTATGTTTACCGTGTCATTTATGGTGACCACGCACTGCCTGCTTCCTTCGTGCTTGTTTCTGATTGCCGAGTTGTTGTGGGTTTGTGCAAGGTCATCCCGTCCTTTGCATCAAGAACTGCTTCTTCTGGAATTTCGAGGATGGCTTCCTGCAGTGGACTCGAAAGCGGTTACTGTTTTGTTGCAAAAATGCCTTGAATACGGCACATTGTATCCCGCTTCACCATGTCCTCGCCACTGGCAAGCTCAAAGCGAGCTCGAACCAAGATTCCAGCCTCACGTTCTTGCACACTTGAGCACGTCCAACACTTTGCAAGGTATTTAATTGCGAGTGCTTGGTCTTCTTTAAAATAAGACCTCGCTGCGGTAGGCTTCACACGGCCTTCTCATGATCAATCTAAGTGCTTGGTTGGAAGAGACAGGAGGTGTTCGGAACAAAGTGCAACAACAAAATACTAGAGAGAGAGAGAGAGACACTGCACGGGGCTCCAATCTAGGGTGAGACCAGCCAGTTATATAGTTGGTTTGAGTTTGCAAATTGAGCGCCAAGAGTCTGTTTATGCCAACCCCTCAAATCATCTTCATGGCAAAAAGACAATTCACACAAAGGGGCAAACTGTCTCTCCCCACGCGTGCTCCTGGATTTATGTTTTTGTTTCTCATGTTACAAGTTTACTTAGGCCTAAGCATCATCCGGGCAAGTGCAAATCGACAAAGCTTACCAGCATAATCTGCCTTGTACTCATAGCAAGCAAGACTCTCGCGGCAAAGGTGAAACTTAGCGTCAAACTCGAGGCTCAAACAGCCTGACCTAGCAGGTGGGGCGGGCTGTTTCACAGCTTTTGGACGCCACAGAGACTGAGATGCTGGCCTTCTTGATCCGGCTGAAGCCACGCGTTGGAACCTCAGAGATCCCGGCATTCACGCCACGCTCTTTTTCTGAAGGATCCCCCAGAGAATGACATGGAAACAGGATGATAGAGGCGTCATAAAGCCAAAGAACATCGGCATGTTCTTTTGCCACGGTGACCTCTGCATTCATGAGGTACCTCAGTAACAAAACTCACAGGACAAGAATGGTAAAGAACTCCGTAACGACCTGCGTTGCCTCCTCTGGGACAGTTGGGGTGGTCTCTTGTTTGGAGGCCATTGCTATTAGGTTGGAGGCCATCTCTAGTAGGTTGGAGGCCATCTCTAGTAGGGTGGAGGCCATTGCGCTTAGGTTGGAGGCCAACGCTAGTAGGTTGGAGGTCATCGCTAGGAGGGTGGAGGCCATCGCTATTAGGTTGGAGGCCATTGTTGATAATAGGTTGGAGGCCATTGCTATTAGGTTGGAGGCCTTTGATATTAGGT